AAAGCTTAATTACAGCTGAAGACTTGGACAAACCAAATCAACGACTGTACAAAACTATTATGGATTTTAAGTTAACTGATCCAACATTTCCCAATTTCATCGACGCCATTGAACAAAGTTGTCGTGAACCGTCAGGATGGTGCTACAAGACTCTAAGTAACAAAAGTTCAAGTGACGGAAATTCAACGTTCATTAGTGTCGAAGTCGATAATGAACGATACCTCGAACTGTGGCCAGCAAATCATCAATCAAAAATCATACAACATTCTTCTAACACATATGGTATCATACGAATATTACATAATAAACTCATGCTCGAATTCCACCCATACTTAAGTGCTAATCCAAATAAAAGGCCATTTTTTAGTACAACTGTGTGAAAAAAAATGAAGTAACCTACGTTAAACCGGGATTAAATCAAATATACCGATTTTTCAATGCAAGACCAGTATTGGCTATTATTATCGAAGCTTTTAATAATGAAACATTTGAATATATGGATAGTAAGCGAAAGCAGCCGAAACAATCGAGACTGGTACCTGATATCAAGTTTAAAGTGTTTAAAAATTTAATCAAGAAAGAGTGGGAACAATACGAAGGTAAGGCAAATAGCTTTAAAGCTACCGATTCATCTCACCGTCCTAGTTATTAGGTTAAGAAACTGCATTTCTGGAAACAAACCGCCGGAAAAACTATGCTCCATGAGATGGTCTAGGGGCATCATATGTCTTACAGCTCACTGTGATGTGTTATTGTTACATCAACTCTTACACTACATGCTAAACTTTCGCTCGATAAGGCGCTCAGCAACTTATATAATGACTAGTTTATTTAGATGAAGCAATACCAATATTAACAACAACGAAACGAACAACGGCCTTCGTTACTACTACCAGTGAATCTGCAGAACAACCGCCGCTGCCAATGGAACCATTACATGTTGTTACCAATCCAGATTTACACGTTACATTCAATGAGACTTATACAATTACATGCACAGTTTATGTTTCTAGTAGTTCTAATGTTAGCTTTCGCTGGATACAAGTTGAACCGAAAATAGTAAGTCTGTCTTTGTCATTTTGGAAAAGAGTATCTGTTTTGTGCCTTTGTTACAGAGATACGCACTGTTAAATCATGATGGTCCGGGACTAAAAGAAACACTGTCAGCAGAAGTCATTTTATTCTCACGTATAAAAATTGATGATAAATCGAAATTAGGAAATTATACATGTTATGTAGAAGATGAAGCTAAAAATTGGGGATCAGCGCGTATGACGATACACCTGCTCAATTCAGACAATGGGACAACAACTGCAGAAAATAAAGCTCAAGAAGAGGTAGAAACAACCGCTGAAGGTAAGAAAGTGAAAAAGTAAACAGATATATAGATTTTCAAAGAATGGTTGTCCTTAGATTGGCCGATAAAAGAACACGCTACCACAGAAGCTGTCACCACCAGCACCATCAAGACAAAGACAAAGCCAGCACTAACCACGCGAAGTAGAACCTCAATAAAGAGAGATGGTAAATAACTTTTTTGTCACACAGCCAACAAGAAGAAAAGATACAAGTTGTTTATCCTCTTCCTTTTTTAGCTGTTTGTAGTCCTCAATGTGAAAACAATGGACGATGTGTTAGTGTAAATGTTTGTCAGTGTGCAACTGGATGGACTGGTAGTGATTGTACAATACGTAAGTTACATATGTTTTTCTCGTTGAAACTAAACCTTAGCCTAACTAGGGAACATTTTTAGGTGCCCACCTCCGATTTCAATGACCTTTTGCAGATAGATAGAGTATAGCAGAGTAGTAAAAACTCTAAAAGGAATCATGCTCTTATTGCTTTCCTCAAAAGTTATTGCGCTTTTTGTAGCTGGTCCAGCGGAAATATGCAGAAGTGAAAGAACTTGTAACCCAGTCAGAACTGAGAGCTGAAAGTTTTTCTGTAACTCTTCTGTGCGCCTTGATATCCGCGAAATATTTCAGCATTTAAGTTTGGTTCGTTCTCGACTTATTGGATCTCTAAGCTTTCCATAGATTCGACATAGGGTGCGCTTTGAATAAAACAGCTATAAACTGTTAATTTTTTACCCAAACTGTTGAAACTTTCAGAACTAAGATGATGTCAAGTGATAAAAATGGTGGAATAATCAAAATTCTGCAATTTCAGTAGTTCACACTCAGGTTTTCTCGGAGGTCTCTGGAAACCCTCTAATCAGAAATCGACTGCAACCAAGCTGAAATGTCAACCAAAATTTATTTTTGCGCTACTTATGCATGGTCAAATCGAGCTCATCAAGCTGAATCAGAATATGAGTGTTTTAACATTCCGAAAAAACTTTTGAGAATGGAAATTTCAAAAGCCTGAGATGTAGAAAACTGAAATTGCAGAATTTTGATAATTCAATCATTTTTATCACTCGACGTCATCTTAGGTCTAATAGTTTCAACCATTTGAGTAAAAGATTAACGATTTTCTGGCAGATTTATTCAAAGTTAGGGCGAATCTATGGAAAGCTTAGAAATTCAATAAGTCGAGAATGAACCAAACTTAAATGCTGAAATAGTTTGTGGATATCAAAGACACATAGAAGAGTTATAGAAAAACTTTCAGCCCTTCGTAACGCATT